CTATTTTGCTAATTGGATTCGCTTTGCTAACTAACACTTCATTGAAAAATGTCTCCACTCTATATTGAAAGTGCTTAGCTACTATAACAGGATTTGTATTCAGAATTTGGCACCTTTCATTGTAAGACAATGCATCAAGTTCCTCATTTGTCATCTTTTTCCCTTGCATTTTGGCAATGATTTGGAACAGTTCTGGCCATCTAAGATCAGCACATGATAGCGTCATAAACCATGTTGGAATACCAAGTTGTTTCACCATAGCAACTACCTCATACATAAATTTTTGCCAGTAAGGTGGAGTACCTGGAATTTATCTCAAAAATAAATAAGCTTGGTCTTGACAAATTAGATTTTGTAAGCCTAATTGAGCAGCAGTGACAGAATGACCAGGAACCTTTTTTAATGCAATATTGATACTGTCTGAAACTTTTTTCTGCTCAATTATAAATTGTGCAAAGAAAAGATACTCTGGGTTTCTAGCAAATTTTCCACTATAATGTAGGAGTCATGCATTAAAGTACTTTACTGGTGATAACATAATTTCATGTTCAGCTGTGTACCCATATCTTCCCTTAGGAAACAACACTGGGAAAGCTAGTTCTTCACATTGTTTATCAGTCATGAATGAAACAGGGTGTTTGTTCTCTCCTGGTGCAATGCTATAAATTTCATTTCCTGATGACTGCTCATTATTATTATCTACCATCACAGGATAGTTAGGGATAATGGATTGCAAGCATGTTTGATTGATTGGCATTCTATGCTCATTTAAAGGGTCTTCAATTTCTTCATTATTATCATTTAAGTCATTGAAGTCATTAATTTGATTTTGGAATGAAGATTTTTCCTGGTTTACTGGTATTGAATCTTCAGTGTCTTCTACACAATCATCTGTAACTGAATTGTTTGTAGAACCTGTTGCTTCATTTACTGTTATAGAATTATCTGTCTCATGCAGTACAGTCAGATTTGTATCAATATTATTAACATCAATTTGTATGTCTTTATACAATGTATTATTTGCCTTAAGCCATTATATTGCACGGCTTGTAAGACAAAGTGAGGCCTTACTGCTTGAAAGTATACATGACCTCTGAATTGTAACTTTCTTTTGAGTTTTAAAAGGATTATACCAGATCTCTCAGGAGGGCGTGTAAAAGACTACTTGTCTGATCACATTCAACCAGTACATTACAAATTGCACCTTTTACTTTCCTCTGTTGACCTTTGGGCATA